TTCATCAAGTGACTCCAGAACCAATTTGCTTAACCATTATGTACTATGTAGAGTGTGTGCTTGGTGAGGATCGGAGAGGATTTATACATCTCACATTCCTTCATGTGATTCAGTTTTGTAAATTATCACACATGCAGAGATGAGTGTGGGCTTAAAAAAGCTTGAGCTGAGAGCTATTTCTTTTCCTTTAAATTGCCACAGTAACCCTCTTTAGGCTCTCAGTGCATATCCATCTTAGGCAGTATTAAAAAAAATGAGTGAATTAAAATAGGACCTTGAATTATCTTTTCGAGATTGTTGTGATGCAACTTTAAAATCTTAAAGTAACAGGACTGGTATAGTACTTTTTACTCTAAAAATTCGTAGTGCTAAATAAGAGATTAAAAATCTTCATTGTAGTCAAATGAAATAGGATATCCTTGTTAACGCTTGCAAGTTATTCTTTTGAACACTTTTCTACTCTCTAAATGCCTTATTTTCAGTTTATTATAAGATCGCACAGATGTGTTACAAGATGTGACAGAATGACACTTATTTAGAGGAAGTATATAGTCAAACTCACCTGTTCACAGTGACGAAAATCCTTGAAAGCTTATTGGAAAAGTATAAACCTTTCCTAGTTTCTAAGAATTGTAATGAAAGTTACATTGCTCTACATTTTTGGAATATTTGTGCAAGCTTCCTGCTTTTGTCTTTGTTCTTGTTAAAGAAAGTATTTTTAGAAGTCATACAGTGTTCATGTTAATAAAATTAAATAATTAAGATAACTTATATTATTTTTAATAGTAATGTGACTAAAATATGGGGTTAGCTGGAGAGTCGCATAAAATCAGCATCATGAGCACATACTTATCCAAAAAAACACACTTGGTTTGAAGTTTAGAAAGCAACCTAAAATAAGCATGTGTTCTTTGTTGTATTAATTCATTATTATTTAAATTAATGTTCTTTGTGTTTTCTCTAGGGAAAAGTAGTTTAAAAAAATTACTCAGCTATTTTCCTGGAACAGTATCAAAATTTGTATCTGGCTTAACACATCTGACCTGACAGTCTTCAGAGGAAGCGAACACATGTTCTATGAGTACTCCCCTAGATAAATCTGCAGCCAAACAACGGGACAGTGAGATCAAATTCCAGTGTTTTTTCTCCACTGAAATAAAATTAAAATTCAAAAATTACATTTACAGGCTTCTATCCCTTATGGTCAGTTACAGTCTGGTGGAGACCATCTGCGGCGGCGGCGGGCGGGGGGCAGGGGAGGAGAAGAAGAAGCTGACAGTGATGGTGGTGATGATGGAGTTGGAGAAGGAGAAAGAGTTGTCGATGTGGTGGTTGGTGAGAGTGAGTGTATGAATTGGTCCTACAATACCCATTTTGAAAATTATTTTTCCAGTAGTGGTTACACTCTCTTTGTCAATTCTGCCTTGTAAAAATGAGTAATAGTAGGTGGTATTAGCCTGATCACAGATTATTATTCTTTCCAGTTACAAAGCTTAGCAGAAAATCTGGAGACTTACTTCCTGACCCTATTACCATCCTTTTTCAAACCCCAATGTTAAATGAGGGCCCCTGACCAAGAAAAATACTTGAGGGCTGTAGACTAATAAGAAGGACCTTTTTTTCCCTTTAACTTAAAGAAAAATAAAGCATTCTGTTTACTTCTTTGACCTTGTGGGGAAAACTGTTCCCTGGGTTGTACCCTCAGCAAGAAGAACAGCATTACCCTTTGAGCCAAAGGAAAAAGAACTAAACCCAGATCTTCTGTTGGAGATCCTAGCCTTTGCTCTACGTCAGCCCGTCTCAACCTCCACACTATTTGACTTTTAGGATCCATCACCCTTTACTCTGGGGAGCTGTCGTGTGCATTGTAAGATACTTCAGCAGCATTCCTGACCTCTACCCACTAGATGCCTGTGGCACCCCCCCACCCCAGAATTGTTCCAGTGTCCTCCACGCACATTTGAGAAACCCTGCTCTCAGTATATTAGGTGATTTGTTGATAATATTTTCTAAATTTTAGTGTTACTTTTAAATATTTTGTCCTATTTTAAGTATTTTGGTGTAGAATAGGCTTCGCTTTTAAGAACTGTAAAAATAAACTGGAAGCACATGTTCTAATTTGGGGGTAAAAGTGAGGACAAGATCTTTTTCTGATTTGAGAATTCAACATTGTCACCTTTGGATGCCTAGTACAGTGTTGTTCATTGCACAGGTGGGGACCCTTTAGTGGGTCAGGAAGATATATTTAAGACACTATTGAATCAAGGTGTAAAATACATTTCTTACTTTGGAATAACAGAGAAAAACATTTGAAAACTGCTGGCCTAGTGTCCCTTTCCAACTGTAATATTCAAAACATATACTTCATAGCAGTAGGTATTTGGCCAGGCCAGCTTAAGCTATTTATCTAGTCAGGTTACACTTATCAAATAGTCTTGGAAATATGGAACATTCAAATTTGTGCATTGCAGTAGATTTGAGACTTTCTTTTAACTTTAGCTTCTGGTGCGTATCGTCTTGTTTGCGAGAGGAGGAAGCTCTGAACTCCATCACATATTTTAGAACATTCTTGGCACGTTACTTGTGGACTGTTCATACCCTCCCCCTACACAAGATGCTGAAAAAAGACAGCTCCATTTTAATTGTTTTCTTCATCACCATGCATGCAAAAGTCCTGTTTTTCATCAGTTAGTATTTATTTTGTTAGCTTTTGTAGGAACTGTGCTGTATGGAGGAAATGGCAGAAAACATTTTGTGCATTTATTGAGAATCAAACATAAATATGAGCATAAAGATATTTAAGAATTGCTCCTAACACTCTGCTTGTAATCTTTTTGTAAAATTCATTTTAACATGACAACTTTAAGTTAAATAATAGCCTGTGGGGAATACATTAAATGCGACAATCTGCCATTACTAAGTCCTGACTTCAGCTGTTAATAGCAATATTCTTGGCTTTCTGAAATCCATCAACACTTCTAATCACTTAAGAAGCTGCCTTAGTTTCATACTTACTAAAGAAAATACATTTATAGTTTGAGTTACTTCATTTATTCAGGGCTACTTTTTAAAGATTGAAACACTTCCAGAAAGCTCGTTTTCATCTTTTCAGTAGTAGCAGAACATTTTTGACTAGTTTCATATTTTTAGAAGATCTGTCTTAGGATGGTTGTCTTTTTCTCTAAGGAAAAATGTTAATGATTATTCAAAAGTTTTTTATATTACAATTCATTTATTTTCACAAGGGAGGTTTTTACATCCTTATGTTTTTAATTTAGATAATATCCAATAGAGATATTCAAGGTATTTTCATGGTAGTTTCAGGAGAAATTTGTGGTTATTTTTCTTTTCCTCTGAGTTGTATAACATTCTAAGTTTTATATTTGCAAAAGATCAGTGGCTGTGTCACACAAAAACTCACAGGTTTATTTAATGGTGGCTTTTTGTATTATGATGTTATTGAATTGCTATGCCTAGTTCTTGTGTGTGGAGTGAAGGCAAGTGTAGAAGATAGGTGAAGTTTAATGTTGGTTAAAAGCTAAGCTTTATGTGAGAGAGATTTGTTTAAGAAGCCAGATTGCTGGTTGACCTGTGAAAGCAGACTAAGTAACAGTACTAGTGTGGATTTGGCAATAAAATTTCTTTATCAGCAAAAGATATGAAGTATTGTCATCAGAATCTAGGTACAGAGTTGTTGTTCCTTCCTTAAAGCTAGTTTTGAGACTAGTTTGAGATAACTTTTTCATAGGTTAATGTACAGTTTCCTTATTCATTCAATTAATAAACATTTATTTTGCAACTACTACTTGTAGATACTGTATTCTTATTCATAGGCTTTTAAAGCTTTCATCTGTTCTAGTAAATGATATTAGCACTACGCTGTTCTTAAAAATAAAAAATCAGTATAAAATTCTGTTACACCCATCTGTATCCATATTGAGGTTAAAACTCAGAAGTGTCACTTCTAATATAGTTTTCTTTGTTTTAAGTTCTGAACTCTTCCAAAAGGTGATTATAAATAGCTCATTTGAAAGAGAAAATACTATTATTTTGAAAGGATGTATTCATTTTCCTATTAAAAAGACATCCATTTGAATCCCATCGTTAGGAACGCTAAGCAGTGCAATTGGAGCAGCAGCTAAAACTTCTTAATCAGTATTAACGCCTCCTTCCAGGCGCTCAGTAAAATAACAAATTTTATGATAAAGGGAAGAATGCAGATATTTGATTTTTACAAACAATGTGTTAACTGTTTCCATATTCAGTTGCTGAAGAAATTTCTGGAGCAAATAATGCTGCTACCAAGATATGAAGGTCATTTTACTAATCTTTAATAAGTCTAATAAACTGTTTTTTTGTTGTCATTCTATAGGGGAAAATGAGGCTTTTGGGGAGGGACAACTGAAAAGTCAAATTTCAGTAGAACATAAAATTAAACTATGAAATATTGCTTTAATGCCTTCAAGAAGGAATGCCTTACATCGTGTAATATGGTCAGAAATCTGCATGATCTTTAGTATAGTTTAAGTGTTTTTAGAAATCATTTGACTTCTCACAGGGATTTTTGAAGGGGTTTGTGCTATTTGTAACTAAATAGATGAAGCTGATCATATACATTTATTTTTATAGTTGACATTTATTTTGAACAATTACTATGAATTGATACTCTTTTAAAGACTGGATTTATTATGACATATATATATAATTATTGCTAAGTTATGTTTACTTCTATTTATTTTGATTGGAAAGTTCTTTGAACTCATAAATTATACCAGTAATCATTGATTATTTTAACCTAACCTGGCTTCTGCTGGCTCCTGTGAGTAGACCTACTAAGAACTATGTTGTCTGTTTTATCTTGTGTAAGGAATGTATTGGTGGTACAAAATATCTGACGTCATACATATTTTAAAATCTTCACAAAAAATCCTGATTATTTGTAGTGTAAGTCAAAGATGTAAAGAATAATTTATCGTCCTTTTAACTTTTTTTTTTTAAAGGTGATGGATGTGGACATACTGTACTAGGCCCTGAAAGTGGAACCCTGACGTCCATAAACTACCCACAGACCTATCCTAACAGCACTGTTTGCGAATGGGAGATCCGTGTAAAGATGGGAGAGCGAGTGCGCATCAAATTTGGTGACTTTGACATTGAAGATTCTGATTCTTGTCACTTTAATTACTTGAGAATTTATAATGGAATTGGAGTTAGCAGAACCGAAATAGGTAGGAAATTTTCAATACGTCATTGCCCCAAGTTTTAAAACTGAAGCAGTGTTTGATACTTAACATTGAATAACTATGCTGTATAGGATATGTGGGAAATTATTGAAACGTGTGGAAATCTCAAAGTTGAATCTTCTTTTGGGGAGAGAAGATTCTTATCTGTTTATTCACTTTTCTAATAAGCCTGTGTTGGTACATTTGCAACAAGATGCCACTCTACTGCTTCTGAGGAGGAGGAAGTTAATTATCTTTTTTTGTTCATTTTGTTTTTCTTTGACCATTTTACTTGCAGTTAAAGAATGTAAGTATAATTCATGCTTAGGAGTCAGTATATCATGGTAATTAAGAGCATGGGTTTTGGATCCAAACTTCCTGATATTAAATACTTCTGCTATTAGCTTGCTGTGTGACCTCGGGCAAGTTACCTTATCTCTGTTTCCTCACTTGTAAAATAGGGCATGAACTAGTACATGTAAAGTGCTTAGAACTGTACCTGACATATAATATATGCTTAGTAAATATTAGCTGCTGTTGTCTTTATTCTTAGCTAAGAGCAGCTGGTTCTCAATTATGGCTGCATATTAGAGTCACTTGGGAAGACTTTTAAATAATACTATATACCTGTCCCCATTCTAGAGCAGTTCAATCAGAATTTATTCGGTGGGATCCACACCTCAGTATTTTTAAAGCTACCCAGGAGAATATACTTTGAGGTCAAGTTGAGAACCTTTGGCTTAGAGATCAGCACCTTTCTCTGAAGCAGGAAACATAGCAAAATTTGTAAGGCTGTCTTGGTGAAATAACATTATAACATAAAGAACTCTAAAATTCTCTGTGAGTTTATTTGGAAAGACTTATTGATACAGGTGTGTAACATGTCTTTCAGAACTGTAATTGGAGCCCACTATCTTGTTCTTTAAGCATCATGTTCATCTTCTGGCCTCCTCTCTGTCTCTAGTCAAACCATTCATCTCTTCTCCACTTTTTGGCCTCTTATCTATGAGAGGAACAATTCCTGGCCTGCTTACCTGGCTGCTGATTGATAACCTCTGTTGTCTCCCAATCAACTCTTGATTAACCTGGGTGCTTGATCACCACGTGCATATTGCCACAAATATATGGTCTCGGATAAGCTTTTAGAAACTCGAATCACCTGAGGATCTAGAAAACACTGTTACTATAATACTGATAGAAGACAGTTGCATATTAAGTGCCTCCTGAGTAGATGCAATAGGGAGTAAATGGTACCACCTCAGCAGTCTTGAAACAATAATACAAAAAGTGAACCACAATCTGATCATGCCTCTAGCAGTTTACATGAAATAAAGGAGCTAGAGAAACACACTTTATCAACTATAAAGACTCCTTTTTAAAAAAATGCCACTTATATGTAAAGGGGAGGAGGTCGAGGGAACTGTCGTTCATTTAGAGATACATCTTCCAAAAGTAGTGTGTGGACCTTGTGACCTTGTTTAGGTCTTGATTCAAACTAACTGACTGAGAGAGGACATTTTTGAGAAAAGCAGAATCTCAAATTCTGTGGTAATGTTATATTTTGTGTATTCAATATCTGATTTGTTAGAGACCCTTTGAAGTTCAAACAAAACGTCTCTGATTTGTTTTTAAATATTTCAGAGAAAAAATGGTAGGAAGAGGGCAGGTGAAACCAGAATGGCACACGGGTGAAGCTGAGCCATGGGCACATGGGAGTACATCTCTCTACTTTGATGTAGTTTTGAAAATTTCCATATTGAAAGTGCTTTTTGTTAAAAAGGAAAACCATAGGATTATGTATTTGGACAATAAGTAGTGTCATGTTGCTAGGCAGGAAGAGTGGCACGGGAAAAAAATTGAGCACAGGTTTTAAATCACTCACTGGGTTCTCATCATAGCTCCAGGACTTACTTGGTAAAATTCTTTCTACAAGTCATCAGCCCAGACTTCAAAGTCATCATCAGTACTGTAGGAAGATTAAATGAAATAATATTTTGCAGTGCTTGGGGCGTAGTGGGTGTCCACTACTCAGCTCTCCCTTATTTCCATTGGTTTTGTTTTTCCTTATTCTCTCTTCATACAGGTGAATGGAAAGCTGTAGAAAGGTCAAGGGGACGGAGTGATGATGGTTCCTGTTGAGCTTTAGTTCTGCTCCTCCCCCCACCACCTACCGTATATCACCACCTACCGTATATCCACTGGTCCTCCATTTGGGGAGCAGTTTGTGGTTAGTGGTAGAAAAGTAACTTTCCTGACATGGCAGAGAAATAAAGGTCATTCAAGAATAACTGTTCTGGTTAAAGTAGATGTGCCAGGAATTACAGAATAGAAACAAATACATTGGGTATCAAGATTCCAGTGATTATGGTAAAGAATCCTTTTTCGGGCTTCCCTCTTGGTGCAGTGGTTGAGAGTCCACCTGCCGATGCAGGGGACACGGGTTCGTGCCCCGGTCCGGGAGGATCCCACATGCCGCGGAGCAGCTGGGCCCGTGAGCCATGGCCGCTGAGCTTGCGCACCCGGAGCCTGTGCTCCGCAACGGGAGAGGCCCACGTACCGCAAAAAAAAAAAAAAAAAAAAGAATCCTCTTTTTTCTATATTGTCTTTTCTCAGGGTCTCTTCTGAACAGAAGCAGGTTCAAATGAGCTGCATTTTCCTATAAAAAAGTTTCCTATTTTGGTATAAAGCTTAGATTTTTGGTTTTTTTCTCTATAGGTGTTAATTTTAGGGACTTTCCTCCCCTGAGAGATGGTATTGTGAAATAATCAAGAAAAGAAAATGAAAGGAAGAATGATTTCTCAAGGAATCACTTTTTAAATCATAAATTCATTAGAATGTGTTTTAACTGATACAGCACTTTTGGACAGTTATTTTCTATTTTTTTTGGATTGGGCAATAATGTGTAATATTATTTAAATATATGAGTTTATTATGATTTTATATAACAACTTTCTAAATAGCTAGACGGTCCAGAAATCTTTGTGAAATTAGTGTAGTCGTACTCATTTCACTGACAAGCAGGATGTGTTTAATGATAGAGTAAAGATTGGCTCTCTAGGTCTGTCCCTTTTTTAGGCAGATTGTATTGGAATGAGAAAATTCCATTGTGCCTTGAATTTTACTTTTCCATTTTGATTATTCTTTAATCCCTGGTGTCTGAGACATAGTGGTTGCTCTGTAAAAATGAAAATTAAAGTAAAATCATTCATTATTAATCTTAACTTTTTCAGTACATATATAAATATATATCTCCAAACTATTTTGCAACTTGTTTTTTTCTCTTTTAATATTTAGACATCTTTTCATATTGGTCCATAGACATCTGCTAGCATCATTTCCCTGATGGATATTGTTGATAACTAGTCCAAAAATGAAATTTAAAACCATATTAAAAAGAAAAATCTTTGCTTATGTGTAACCTTTTCCCACTCTATTGTATATATTTTCTTCCTAGATTTTGCTTAAAATTTCCATTTTAAATGAACTTTTTTTGGGATGAGGGATATTGTGAATGGATCTCTAAAAGAGAAGCTAAATATTTTAAAACCTAATAGCTATTAAAGGAAAATGCATTCTGTAGAAGAAATGTAAATGTGTCCGTGTGTTCAAAGTTATATTTAAAGATATACATTCTGTCTTACACCTTCATCAAAGTACCTTTTAAAGTTGTCTCTTAAATCTTCAGGTGACATTTACAAAGAGGGAAACTGAGGTCCTCAGGGCTTCATCTGGTAAATGATTCCGTGTCTCTTGTGTTTTCAGAAAAGTTTCTCTTTCTGTATTGTTTGTCCCCTTTCTCTCTAGTATGCTTAGGTCTTCCTAGTTTAAGAGAAAAAATAAATTTTCTTTCTCTTTACCACCAAACCTCTTGAAAAAGCTATAGTGATGATAATATTAGGTATTTAATGATGATAATGATTGCTAATATTTTTTGAATTCCTATTCTGTAGAGGCTCAGGCTAATCGTGAAAATAACTACCATGCATGCAGTGCTTGCTATGTGCCAGGTACTATTCAAATTACTTTTATCAATTAACTTATTTAGTCCTCACAAGAACCCTTGAGATAGATACTTTTATCACCCCCATTTATTACTGATGAGGGAACTGAGGCACAGAGAGGTTGAATAACTTCCCCAAGGTCACATAGCTAGCAAATTGCTAAGTGGGATTCAAACCTAAGCAGTCTGGCTCCAGAATTGGTGTCTTTTACTGTGAGCCCTTGACACACTTGATTCCATTGAATCCTACAAGAATCCTGTACATCATTCCCATAAAACAGATAAATAGAAGATCAGAGAAGGTAAGCAACTCGCCCAAAGTCATATAAGCAGAATTGGGACTTGAACTAAGGTCCGGCTAATAGCAAAGTCCATAATCTCAACCACTAGGCTATAGAGTAATAGATACCAGCTATTACTCCTTAATCTTTTACTACATGGTCTCCTTACTGCAAACTGTTGAAAATAGCAACTTTTTAATAAACATTAACTTTTTCCTTTTAGCTATTTATTTTGGCATACTTTTTTTTTTTTTTTTGACCATGTGACGGCTTGCGGGATCTCAGTTCCCCGACCAGGGATTGAACCCGGGCTATGACAGTTAAAACCCCAGAATCCTGACCACTAGGCCACCAGGGAACTGCCTATTTTGACATAATTTTAGACTTAATAGAGAAGTTGCAAAAATGGGATAATTTCCATAAACATTTCACCCAGATTTTCCAAATGTTACCATTTTATCACATTTGCCTTATCCCTTTCCCCCACAAGCATACACTCTTTTTCTAAACTGAGAGTACTTTCAAGCATGATGTTCCTTTACCCCTGTATATTGTGTTTATTTCCTAAAAACTAGGACATTCTCTTTACATGACCACAAAACAGTTATCACAATTAAGGAAATTAACATTGATGTAGGACTGAGCTACAGGAGCTGCTGAAATTTCTTCAGTTGTACAAATAATGTCCTTTATAGCAAAAGAAATTCTCAGATTATGTATTGCAT